TAAATTTGATCCCTCCACAGCTGCCGTTGGCTTAAACCCTACTGTAAATGAATAGGGTAGTGTATCATATCAGCGTCGGGCCTGGATTGACCGTCTTGCCCAAGCTGTTGGATTGCTGATTGCCTGGATCATATTCCTTTGGGTTACGTCCCTGACTTCCAGCTCCATCCGTAACGACCTGGTTTGTCCGCGTAAGCGTATTATTTCCTTTTCTTGTTTGGGATTGATCGTTCTCCCCATGTTGCAAAGTGCGGCTTTTGTGGGAGGAGAGGGGGAAGCTAAGCGACTTGTGAGTGTAAAAAGTATTCATTTAAGGTTGTTCTTAAGATGTAGAAAGGAATGGGGGTTCTTTTTAAGAGATCTGGATTTGTAACTTGTCAGCAAATTTCAACCGCGTTAGAGTATTGGAAATGGGAATTGTGTGGAGGAAGGGATTTTTCACACAAGTTTCAAAATTTGCTTGGCTGAATGGCGAGGGCACACGGACGGGGGTTTAGGTGAAGTCTTTGTAGTTTTTTAGCAGCCCCTGCTGTTACGTCTCGGTTGAGCTTCTGTACGACTGTAGTAATACCTCGGTAAAAGCAAGGAAATCAAGTTTCTGTGTTTTTTTTTCTGATCGTGAAAAGCAGAAAAACTTTTTGCTCTTTCTAAAGCCCTTGTACCTTCTTCAGACCGTGCGTGTGTGTCTGCCTACGTCCGTATGCGTCTGCTTGCTTTTTTTGATGAAGAATTTCACACTGAAGTATACCTCAGCGACTCTCGGGCCTCGCGTGAGGCTTTCCAAATGATTGTATCTCTTAAATACCTAGTATGCTGCCTGAAGAGTTGCAGCAAATATTTGGAAGTTGTGGCTCACGCTGTTTTTGTTACCCTTGGTTTTTGGCATGTAAAAGCACTTGTTCTTAAGTCGTGCTAGCTTATAATGCTGTCTTGCTGGTGCAGCTGAAGAGATACTGGCAAACAAGGTGGAATATTAATCTTCTGTTCCATAAATACATTGATTATCCCTTTGGGTGAGATCCCATCTGCTTTTTGTACTTTGCTCTTTTTTTTTTTTTCCTAGTTGATCAGGAGCACCTTTCTGCCACAAATGGGAATGGTCCCCTGGGGCTTCGAGCTAGCTTTTGCAGAAGATGCTGGACATTAAACCCGGTCTCCGTTTTCTAGTCACGCTAGTAAAATGATCGCTGCTTTGAGAGAGAGGACGTAGCAGTTGATCTGAGTGGAATAGTTTGAGTCAGTGCGGTGCTTGTTTTGCTTTCCTGCCCTTAAGATAAATGTAAGTGCAATGAGGGCACCAGTGTGACAGCTCAGTAACGTTACTTCCACGTAGATAAGTCAATAATGTATTTGATTTTAGTTATATGAGGCAGCATGCTGTTACAGACGCCTATGTTTTTAGAATCTATTTATATTGTTCAGGTAACCATTTCTGGCAGAATTATCCACAGACATGAAAATGAAGCATGTGGCACCAGTGTTGCATTTTTAATTGTAGACAGCTGCTTCATGTTTTGAATTTCATTGCACAGGCTAAAGAGCTACATCCCCCTTCAGCACGGCAGCCACGGGGATGTATGGAAGAATTACGGTATTTGTTCAAGTCTGCCTCAGTCTTGAAGGCAGACTTTCAGTTAATGGTTACTTGGCAGTTCTCCGAGATAGTAGCGTGTTTGCTACAGATCATCAAAGGTGTTTTTAATTACCTGGCAGTCTTAACTCCTTTTGTCTTTCAGGTTTATCTCCTCTTCAGAGAATCTTATTCTTGTTCCAATACTTAGATTATCACAGAACACTAGTTGTCGTTGACTTGTTTTGTAACGTACCTGTTAATACTTGGTTATTGAAACGAATTACTTGCCGTAACATAATGGGGTGCTTCTCGATAATTTTGTAACTTGTTAACGTTTTACATTAGCTTGTCCCATTTATTTTTTATTTCTGTGTTCTGCTCACTTCACACTATAGCAAAAGGCAGAGAAATACCTTTTTGTTCCTTGGTAGGCGAAGCCGAGAGCTTCACTACAAGCGCCGTCTCCTGCTTTTCTCATGATCTCTGTCTCTTCTCTCTGTCCCTTTTTCCTCCCCAAAGCACTCTCTCACCCATTTTTGTTTCCATGAAATTCCCGAGTAGAGGCAAGTAAGAACATCTTGGCTCAACGTATTTGGCCCTACCTATTTCACTCGAGATCTGAGCTTGAGGTGTAGTGTGGGATCACCTGCTTGGGAGGCGTGCTAAGGAATGAATTTCAATTCCGTGCTCGCATCAAGTAAACGTTAAATCACACAAGCTTGCTGTTGTTTTGCAGAACATCTAGCACTCCGTGTCTGAGGACACGCTGGAACCTTATCTTCAAAGGCTATCTTCTAAAAATATAACGCATTAAGATTGCATTTTGCTTTTATTTGCACATATGAAAGTAATATAGTAAGAAGGTGTTAAGGCACCTCTTGAATGTGTGACTCAGTCAAAGATAGGCTTGTAGAGCTGTTTTGTGAGAAACTAAATTTGAGGAACATAAAAACTTGGCTTGTCTGCAAAATATAGTAATGCTTCTGATGTTTCAGAAGAAATACCTCACCGCGTTTATCAATATGTGCCGGATTGATAGCCATTGACCTCACCCCCTTTTTCTGGGGATCAAAGTTGCAAGATTAAATCCAGGATTTCTGTAGAGAGGACTTCTAAAGGGAGGCTCCCGAATTATCGTGCAGTTATGCAGCGACAGCGTGTAACGGTATTCAAAATCCTAAACAAGTGGCCCGGCTTTCAAAAGTGCTGAACAGTCAGAAGCTCCTATTGAGCACAGTGGCAGCTGAGGGGTGACTCAACATTTCTGAAGATCATTCCACGTAAATAAGGATTTATTTGCTTGATCTTAGTCTTCCGAAAGTCAGCAAGCAAAATTCTCATTCATGGTTTTAGGGGTGAAGATAGAAGCTGCGTGTTTAATTTTAAGCATCTCTATTTCAAGCTCTTTTGGCTAATAGCTTTATCAAGTCACTTATTTATGATTACTTATGCATATCTATCTGGGATGCTGTTTCATATTTGAGGAAAATGATGTTCTATTCTGTTTTAGCTGGCAAGCTTTTATGGATTTAGGCGAGCGCGAGTTGCCATGGAGAATGACTGGCAGGTTAAGCTTGACTTTTAAAAGAGGCTTATTGAGTTGAAACGCAAAAAAACCCTAGCATTGAGGGAGAAACTCTTAATAGCTAGGTAAAATGATCTTACTCAAACTTTTAGGTAGTTGTTTTCCTTTGGGAGAAATTAGGTCCAGAAGCATCCTTACAAAAGAAGAAAAGTATTGAAAATGGAAGGGGGGAAGGATTTGCGATGTGGTTTTTCCAAGTATACCGAAGCATGCTGTATTCAAGGTGAAATTAGAGAAGATATTAAACAGGGAAGACTTTGTTTCCTTATATAATTGTGCTGGGTTTGTCTTTCAATATTCCTTTTACAAGAAGGGAAGCCATGCATTCACACTGTAATTTATGTGATGCTTTACCTTTCTGATTTGACATCCCACTCTTATTTTTGTGCAACGCATTTGTTTCCAATAAATAGCTGCTACTACTGTACCTCTAATAACATGGAAAATTCCAGTGCAGTAACAGGTCTTTGACTGGATGTGTTCCTCAGATAACGTGAACAAACTTTTTTCCTTAACTATTGAAATCAAATATAGTTTATTTACATTGCAGAGAACAAGATGTTAGTTTCAGAAAGGCTCCTATTTTAAGCTTACTCAGAAAATGTAAGTGTAGTAAAATCACTTAGATGTATTTACTGCCGGTGTCTTAAGAAAGTCAGACCACGTAGTTGGTAGCGCGATGTTGGTGGATGACTACCTGAAGCCAGAGCTGCTTGAAGAACCAAAGCAGCTTTTTGACAACGTTAGACTCCTTTTCTATGAATGCACAAATCCCGTTGTTATAAAGCAAGATAAAGCGTAGTGATTAGCTCGCTCAGAATTAAGAAAATCAGACCAGCTCTTCTTCTAATTTGTGAATAAAAGGAAGCTTCAAAAGGATACGGTCTGCTGGTGTTGAGAAGAACGACTTCATGACCAGAAACCACTGCAGGTCCTTATCAAATGGAGTTTAAAGACCAAATGTGTTAGGAGGGACTTATTCCTTATCTCCTATTTAGCGTAATGGAGGCAGTTCTGTGAGACAATTTGGAAGTGCTTTTTTAGCGGCTTCGGTTGATTTATCTTGATCCAGAAGAAGCTGGATCCAAACAAGTAAAGACAAATGTGCCAGTTGGGATTTTCACGTATAAAGATACATAAATCCTAATGTGCGTTAAGCTAACGGCCAGGTACAACTTTTGCCTTTCTGATTAGCCAGGAGAAATCGAGTTAGTCTGAGGTCAGAACGTAGCTGAACTATTTGAACAGGAGTATTAAATAAAGGTGACGGATGATTCTGGTGTGCATTCATGCTTCTTCACTGTTCAAATTTTGTTCAAGTCAATGCCCCTTGATTCCCGCTCAGTATTTTCACTTGGTTTCATCCTACTAGTATGAAACGTAGGAAATGATTGTCACCGTTCTCCTTTTCCTGATTCAGAGCCTGTTCATCTAATAATCCCTGCCTTTCTATATGTACATACTATGTGTACATGTATATAAAGTATAGTCTTTATTTAAATATTGTTACTAGGGGAGAAAAAAAAGTCTTATATCTAAAACTGTGCAAGCAGTGTCTTAAGCATGTTTTAGCTATCATGGGACAAGCAATGCAGTTTTTTCATGTGCTTTTAATATCCTGCACTTAGCTTGAAAATAAAAGAAGCAAAAAGCCACAGACTTCCTTAGAAACATGATCTGCAATTTGTTAAAAACAATTCTAATGTAGATATTTTTTCCTCCTAGGTTTTACCAAGAGACAGTACATCTAACACTTAACTTGGATCATCTCTTGTTCATCAGCTTGAAAATCATAACAGCCCCCAAAACTGACATTTGATCTGAAAGAAAAAGCTGTGACAAATGGACAATATGTCTATTACTAACACGCCAACAAGTAATGATGCTTGTCTGAGCATTGTTCACAGCTTGATGTGCCATCGACAAGGTGGAGAGAGTGAAACTTTTGCAAAACGCGCAATTGAAAGTTTAGTTAAAAAGCTAAAGGAGAAAAAAGATGAATTGGATTCTTTGATTACAGCTATAACCACAAATGGAGCTCATCCTAGCAAGTGTGTTACAATACAGAGAACGCTGGATGGGAGGCTTCAGGTTAGTACAAGTGAAAATCAGATGTTTTCCTCCTAGTGAAGCTGGAGCAGAAGTGAGTGACACAGGATCCTAGAGCGTTGAGGAAGAGTAGCTCTTCTGTTGCATCCCCCCTCGTCCCTGTTTGTAGGCATGTTTTGTGGCTGGAGCTCTGGACTGCTGCAGTGGTTGATTATTTTTTTTTTTTAAAAGGAGCAGAAGGCGTTGGATCAGCCGTTCTAAACGAGCGTGTGTGTGGCAGTAAAAAGCAGGGTCACGTAACAAATTCGGCTGTTTATCCTGGTATTTTCACTACAAGCTTCTGTTAGCTCTGTGTTGGTCAGCAGTGTGAAGAAAGACCTATGATCCCTTGCTAAGGTACTCCAAGGAGTCTGCACTGAGGATTATGTTAGCCTTATATCGTCAGTACTCAGTACCTGTATAGCTTGGGTTGCGATTTCCTTGTTCCAGGACAGATGTCATGTTTGCTGGCTAGCTTTCTGTCTACCCTAGAAGCATTTTTGATTTTTTTTTTTTTCCAGTATAATGGATTGGCATTCTTCTACTTGTAAATTCCTTATAGCGTAGCTTAGTGCCTCGTTCCTCTTCTTCTGGGACAAAGCTCCTTCATCATCCATGGTGGGGAAGGTGACCATACATACTACATTAAGCACAAATTCTGCTTCTGCCATTTTGTATCCAGTATTTTTTCTTAAGAATCACAGTGTTGACTTAACCGTAGCAAAACCCTAATAGAAATTTATTTCTGTTGAGTACAGAGCTTGGGTAAACTGTACACCATCTTTTTTTTTTTTTTTTTTTTTTTCATATTTTGGTGATGGAGAGAGGTTGTGGTGGTGTTTGTCCTCTCCCAGCTTTGCTCCTCACTAAGTAAAGGGCGGGCACTGTCTTGCTACTTTCCCAATCAACTTTTGTGTCTAACTTTTTAGGTGGCTGGTCGCAAGGGATTCCCTCATGTGATTTACGCTCGTCTTTGGAGGTGGCCTGATCTTCATAAAAATGAACTCAAGCATGTTAAATATTGTCAGTATGCTTTTGACTTAAAATGTGACAGTGTCTGTGTAAATCCTTACCATTATGAGCGTGTAGTATCGCCTGGCATCGGTAAGTAGACTCTTGATTTTAAATGGAACAGTGGGAATAGAATGTAAAATGTTTTCTTTCTGAGTGTAGACAATACAGACCTAAATTAGAAACATTAACTTTTAATGATTTAATTCTAAATTACTGTTACATACTCTTGTCCATCTTCTTAATGGCATTACTTTTTTACCTTTATTCCAAACTTGAAAGAACAGTTTGTGGCTTTTGTTTAAGCCTTTCTGTTGGCTTTGCACACAGTTCTTACAGTTAATGTGTATCCTAGGAATAACTTGGCATTGGGACTTGTGTTGTGATGGAGGGGGTAGAGTCTGTAGTACTAATTTGTAAAGGCATATAAACTTAATGTTCAAACATCGTTGAAGATCTCTCTGTATGTAATCCTTCACGTTCTCTTTTCTTTTTCTTCTTTTTAAAGATCTCTCAGGACTGACACTACAGAGTTCTGGTAAGTAGTTCCGTTTACTGATGCGTTTCTGTGAGCGCAAACTGTGTTAAACTCTTCAATATGTACACAGTTTATTCGTGTGTATCTCCTTGGGAGAGAATGTAGAGAGCAGATGGAAATGCATTTATCTCTCCGGTTTTGGAAAACCAACGAAGTAGCGTATGAGAGGCGAATATTGATAAATTCTTTAAATTGAGGCTTCAGCTCAGCTTGTAGGTGTGTTCTGTTTTCATTGCCTGCAACTTATAAACCCCAACAAAAAAGGAAAACCAAAAACCTCACTGTTGAATGCTGCTAATTAAAAAAAAACAACCAAACACCCCAAAACACATGCACCTGTATGAAATATTGATTAATTTGGAAAACCAACGAAGTAGCGTATGAGAGGCGAATATTGATAAATTCTTTAAATTGAGGCTTCAGCTCAGCTTGTAGGTGTGTTCTGTTTTCATTGCCTGCAACTTATAAACCCCAACAAAAAAGGAAAACCAAAAACCTCACTGTTGAATGCTGCTAATTAATAAAAACCAACCAACCAAACACCCCAGAACATGTGCACCTGTATGATATACTGATTAATTGAATTGGGAATAATAGATACTTATGATTTAATAAGTAGTTTAACAAGAAGATAATAGAAGTTCTGTAATTGATATGCAGTTGTCTGAAGCAGTCTTAATATTCTTGCTGTCCCTGAAACCTGGGAGAAATAGTATGTTAAATGTCCATTGAACATTATTCAGAAATCTGAGATTGTGCAGCTGGTAACTGCTTTATTTCAGAACTGAATTTGTTTTCCTTCCAGAAGAAATTAATAGAGAAGAAAATTTGGGTAATCCAGTGTTTTTAGCACATTATTAGAAGCATTCAAGCAAAAATGACTTAAAGAAACCCAAATGACCGAACAAACTGTTAACTTCACAAGCTTTACCTTGTGTGCTCATCTCTACTAGTTTGCATTTTTACCTGGGTCTTCTGAAAAATAATCCTTTTGTACAGAATCGAAGCTTGCTAGCCAGCAAGAAACAGAAAATTACTGTCAGATTTTAATACATTTAAGGCCGCTTTAAAAATAAACGGGGGAGCTAACATAGTGTAAGTTTTACTTGAATATGCTCAATAGCATATATAGAAATAAATTCTTGTAGTGGCGATGGTAGTAATTTCCTTACGCTGTATGTGGAATATTCCGAGTTAGTAGCTACGTCATTAAATATATAGAGTAGTGTTATATTGTCTTTGAATGTGAGTTTGATGTTTCTAGTCAATTTGGATGGCAGTTGCTTAAAATTACTTAAGGGATGCGTGAAGTTTTTTAATGTGCTGTCTTTGGGAATTACATTTTTCATAGGAGCTTTACGTATGTTCTTACTTGTATACTAGGAATTGGTTTGTTAGCTACTGCATTAACATATATTTAGATGCCTGACAAAAAGCATGTTTTTCCCTTTTATTAACCACGTCCAGTCACACAGTGATGGACCAGAAAACAAAATGCTATTGGAGTCTGCTACTGTGGGACTAAACTGCTTGTTTGATGGCAGTAAGCGAAATAAACAGTTTGCTTTTCCATCCAGCTATGCTTCAAAATTTCCTGCTGCTGACTTGAAGTGTTTATTTGTAGTTTAGAGGAGTGCTTTAGCGATGTTTATATAGGTCAAATCCTCCCCCCTTTATTTTTAATAGCATTGTTATTGCTTGAAAGTAGCAGTGCAATTTGTAGTTAAATCCTGAAAATAGATTTGCTTTGGGTGTTTAACCGTTTGCTTCTTTGCAGCTCCATCAAGCATGTTGGTGAAAGACGAATACGTTCATGACTACGAGGGGCAGCCGTCGTTGTCTTCAGCCGAAGGCCATTCAGTCCAAACCATTCAGCACCCACCAAGTAACAGGGCATCTACAGAGCCTTATAGCACCCCAGCCATGTTAGCTCCTACTGAGGCTAGCACTACCAGCACCACTAATTTTCCCAACATTCCTGTGGCTTCAACAAGTAAGATCATCGAGATTATATGAAATACTAAACCGTGAAAATGTGAAAACTCAAAGATAACCACTGGGTTTTGCCGGAGTAGATCTTGCATTGGAACTGTGCTGCTGCCACGCCGCACTGAGAAGTGCGTGGCAATACGATCTAGGCAGTCTTGTAAGTGTTAACGTAAGGTTTTAACTTGGAGCGCAATTTGAGTAGCTTTTCCTGGTGACCCAGGCTTTTTTTCAATGAGACTGACGCTACACGAGTGTTAAAAGACTGTTTTGGATATGTCAAAGGTTCAGGGATACAATGTTAAAACAACTGACCACTGACCATCATGGCTGTTATTGGAGTGATTGCTGTAGGAATGGAAGAATTTTATTATTTTATTACAACAGCGAGCAGGACAACAAATGGATATACTGTGAGGTGGCAGTATTGAGAGATTTTCAGACAATTCTTTAGTGTTCCACAGCTGACAAAATGAGTCTTCCAGTTTTAACTTGATTCTTTTTATCATGGCCCCCTCTACTACCAAAGGGATAGCCCTAATTAATGTTTTCATGAGTCCGTTGGAGTGCTGCGTTCAGGTTTTTCATACTTTTCTGTGTGTATTTGGTACAACTGGAAGAGTCTGACTTACCAGCATCAAACCTCACACTTCACTCCAGCAGGACAGTAAAGCAGCTACGTACGCACTGTCCGGCAACCCTGACGTAGGGAAACCATGACGTTTGGAGGGATTTCGTGTACTCTTTGTCACTTTAGTAAAGATGTGTGAATATAATGGATTTCATATTATCAAATTTGAATTATGGTGGCATGATGCTTTGATAATGTTCTTTAATTTTAGCTGACAACTGTTTTGCTAAAAGTAACGATGATTTTGCCAGGCTGAGGTACAATGTGTGTATTTGTCTCCAGCAGAGAAAAAAGGGTAGGCAGTTTAATTGTATTGCCTTTGCACAACAGTTTATAGTCAATAACTTTTTCTCATCAGTGCTATAATTGTTGGAGCCAAGTGGACAGGGAAAAAAAAGCTCGTTTTTAGATTTTAGTTCCAAGTTTTCAATGTGTGGCGAGCAGAATTTAACACCAGTTTGAGAGTGCAAGTGTACTTGTGAAACTGCTGATCAGTTTAGTGTTAATAGCTGAGCTGAAGCCTTTTAAAATCAAAATCTGTTAAGCTGTTCTGAAATATCTGTAGTTTTACTTTAAAGCTTAGGCAATTCTTGAAATATTTATTTGGGAGAAAAAAAAACTCCAGCAACTTTCTCAGGAAGGAGTCCAGTGATGTATGCAGCTCTATTCAAGCACTATTTTTAAAAATAAGATACTGTTCAGTATGTTTTGGAGGAACGTAAATTTAAGCGAGTGTCCTCCTTAGGAACAGTAGTTGTAACATGCTGAAAATGAGCAACTTACTGGACCTACTGTTGGCCTCTTTGGATTCATACCAAATCTGCTCCAGCTGTGTTATTCAATAAAACCTGTGACATCTCTTCTTCTTTCCTTTCAAACGGAAAAATGAGATGTGAACAAACCAAAGATGCGGTTGATAAAGACAGTTCTCTGCATACTTCTACTCCTAAAATATTAAGGGTGTCAGAGTCAAAATTAGCTGTTGCAGAGCATCTTGCTTCACGTTTCCCAAGACACTCTGGTGGGTGGAAAAAAAAATACCGAAGCCAAACTTGCAGGAACTGTGTATTGCAGTGCCCTTAGTTGGGTGTATTTTCCTACCCAGTAGTGCTGAGCTCTTCTTCATTAAAATTTTGGAACGTTCATGAATAGGTAGTGTGTTCTTTTACCAGGTCAACCTACCAGTATATTGACAGGTAGCCATAGTGATGGACTCTTACAGATTGCTTCAGGGCCTCAGCCAGGAACTCAGCAGAATGGGTTTACAGCTCAGCCAGCTACTTACCATCACAGTGAGTATATACATACGTGCACTCTTCTTAGTTTTCTAAAACCAGTTTCCAAATGTTCAGGAGAAATAGAGGATTAGAAGTGAGATGTGGAAAATCTCCCTTAAAAACCAACCGCTCCTTTCTTTTTCTAGATAGTACTACAACTTGGACTGGAAGTCGGACGGCAGCCTATACACCTACCATACCTCACCACCAGAATGGCCATCTTCAGCATCATCCACCTATGCATCCTGGACATTACTGTAAGTAGTGCAGGTTTTCAAATCGCTTTGGTTTCAAGTATTTTTTTTTTTTTTTTTGAACGGTGGGGGCTCATTTGTGATTATTCTTTACCCTCAAATTATTTATTTTTCATTATAGAACTACCAGTACTATATTTAGTATATTCTGACAGTTAAATGCAACAGCTTGATGGACTTTTGTCCGTTAAAGCAGCAGAGATTAGAAATTCAGATAGCTATAGTGGTCCCATCTATATTATAGATGTCTTACTATACCTAGCAAAACTAGCGTTTCCTTTCTAAACCTGTGTTTTTAAAGCTTTGCAATTTTGTAGTAAATATTTCCTTTGTGGAAAAGGAAGTTGATTCAGAATGTGTTGTTTGGGTATTTTTCTTTCAAAATTTGGAAGTTCCTGGCTGTTTTTATTTTATAGAAATTTTGAAGTAATGTCTTAATGATGTAAAAAATCTACATTAAGCTTTGGAAGACGTCTGTCCGTGTACACTAGCCGGTTTAAAAGAACTTTGTGAAAACTTGTGCAGTAAAACACTTGTCAATAAAGTGGTCTTACCATAGCCTGATTTGGCACACAAACTTGAAAGTCTTTTTCATCTATGAAATAGGACCGACAGCCTCTTGTTTTAAGATACAGGAGATGGGAAGGAAAAAAAAAAAAGGGATCGAACTTCTAGTGTAACTGTCTAGCACAGTATATGCATTATAAGAGTATAGTGCAAAAAAATCCCCCCCCCAATTAGTTTTTTCTAAGTTTTGTGGAAAAAGCTGGAACAGTTCTTTATTTCCTAATACAGTACTTAACTAGACCACCTCTGTGCAGCAGTTGTTGTTAGTGGAAGGGAGAATATACTATGAATTAATGTTAGAATGACTTTTCAACTTGTCTCTATCAAGGAAATCGTGGTTTAGATACGGTTATTAAGTTGCATTATTTTGTTCTGTTAGGATCCAACTTCATTTATCATCTTATTTGTCAGAAATATCAGGATGTAAAAACTTTAGTGGTGCTGTAGATAACTCTATAAATGTTTCTCAGTGCATGTATCTTTCCATAATTAATATTTGTAACTGGCTGGTGATACCACATAGAGCTTTTCTTGGCTGCTGCCATTTCTCACTTCAGAAAGTTGCGTGTTTTGACACCTAGCAACGTTGTGCCTGTTTTGACATCTTGTTGCAAAATCTGCTGTTACTTATAATACTATGTTTAAGTCTTTCTTCTTTCTTCTGTGCTGCCTGTAAGGGACCTAGTTAGTTTATTAAAGCGGAGAGAATAAACTGGCCAATATCAACACTGCATTCACTGTTTCTTTTTTTTTTTTCTTTTTCCTTGAGAAAATTAGTTCTCTAGGGTTGTTTTTTCTGTCTTCAGGAAATGTTTCTTATGGTCAAGTCCACAGCATGCTGAGCAACTTGTTCTGTGATTAATGAAACTAATGAAGGGTGGTTTCTGACAGATTTATATCACATGCCTCTATACAGTGATTCTCTCCTTGCCCATCTTGGGGGCAGAAGTGAAGCCTAAGTCCTATTTCTGTTACATCTCTAAGCTACATCTGGTTTCTGCTCTCTCCTGTAGCTGGCTCTGGTTTAAGCAGCATGCAGCCTTTCCTCCTGGGATACTAGTGGATACTAATGGATACTAACTGGATACTAACTCGTTGCTCGACTCAACGTCTGAATTTTTAGGAAAGCTCTAAGAGTGTAATTCTTCTGTGGGCATTTTCCTCCCCTGTCAGATTTGGCCAATTGATTCCGAAATTACTGGGATTTATAACATCTGGCATCCTCACAAGTCTTTTCTCATAGGAAAACAAGTTAAGAAAAAAAAAAAAAAAATCCTTGTTTTTCCTCATGTACAACAAATTTTATGTTTTCTTTTAAAGGGCCAGTTCACAATGAACTTGCATTCCAGCCTCCTATATCAAATCATCCTGGTGAGTAAAATCTAACATATAATGCCAAGTACTGTGGAAGCTAATAACTTTCCGGTTTGAGTCTGATGATTTTTTTTTTTTTTTTTTTTGCATCGAGTACTCTGAAATTAGTGAGATATGTATTCAAAAGGGGAGGAAAGAAGGAGAGGAACCATGTTGCGATCTATCGTCTTTTGAATTTGGACCTCTTCTGAAATAGTGACATACTCTGTGAACTGAATTTAATTTTAATTTAGATGCCCAAGTGAAAAATTGTACTCCTCAAACTCACACTGAGCTGGTGCCTACCCTGGAGGTGTCTGGTCTCTGAACGTCCTCAGTCCTAAACTTTACAGGGTGCCTGAAGTTGTACTTTTTGCCTGCTTAGAAACATCATGGAGTTTAGATTGTGCCAAAGCCCTCTTGGATCCATGATCTAGAAGTCCATCATAACAACCAGATACTTTGAAAGATAGGTATTGCCCTTCTTAGCGTTTTGAAGTTCCTCTTTGGACCTTGGCATACAAGCTTGCTCTTTCCAAGAATCTTAATGGTAGCAGTTCGTGGAACCAGAGGTTTTGTCTTTGTAATTCAAAATGCCTAGCTCCATTCCAGGTGCACGGTGGTATTCTGTTTTTAACAACAGCAAAGCTGTTGCCTGCACCGGGAGAGGTGCATGGTTGAAAAACCTAAAAGTTTAACTTGTTTATTCATTGACCAGTGACTAAATCAGTACCAGAAATAAAACTGTTGATAATTGCTGGCTGAACTTAACTGTAGCGAAATTGTAGTTCATATTCTTTCATATGTCTCTCTCACCCTATTGATTCACCTATTGATTTTACCCTATTCAGTCCTCAGAGACATGAGTATTTATTTGAAGATGAAAAAACATAAAGGGATTCAAGCACCTTGGTTTATTCTTTTCTAACAGAACAACAGTTTCGTAAGATAAGTAGGTGGGCTGTTGGGTGCTGCAGTTTGTAATGAACGAGCACCACTTGGAGAGCTCTTTCTCCTGTTGGCTTATCAGGCTGTTGTGTTTAGGTCCTATCATGTTAGCTCTTCGGCTTCCCCTGTTTTGAGTACACTGGAGTGCTGATTCCCTTCACCCTCCCCAACAAACTGCTTCTGTGCCAGCCGTGTTACCCTTTTGTATAGTCAGCAAAGGTGCTGAGTCCCTGAAACCCCCAGTGACTTAGGCTTATGGCAACTTTAGGTGTTAATGTGTCTGAAGAGAGAAACTTAAAACACTTAAAAGCACACGCAGCAACCTGCAGAAGGCTTGACAAACCAGTCGCTCCCAGATAGCACACAAGCAGCAGATACACATACTCAAAATCATTTTGTTAGGTTTCTTCGCTTACTTGTTTGGGTTTCAGTAGCATCCTTTAGGGAGTCAGGGTTTCCTTTCCTCCCACGATAGCTTTTTTCAAGTACCATCTTTCCTTTGTAGCTAGTTTTTCTTTTTAAAGTAGTATAAGTTAAAAGGCATCTCTTTGCAATTAAAACATGCCATTTTGTTCTGCTCCCTTGCTTCATACTTCCTTATTTTATCCCATGTCTGACTTTCTTGTGGGCAGGCAAGATCAGTGTGTGATCTTTGATGTTTTTTACCCCATTGCCAGGACAAAATCAAGCTATGGTCATAAGGTGTAGGAACGCAGATGAGTTACAAAATCTAACTGGAATTACAAACGGTGCAAAGACTTGTAGGATCTTAACTGCAAAAACCCCTAGCATTGATGTGTGCTCAAATAAAAATGACAAGCCCGCGTTTGGCGTAGTATGTAGTGTTTCTTGGTGCTCGCAAATATGTCTATCTGACCTTGCGTGAGGGAATGTGCACTCCTACTCTGAATGACAAATGCAGTTGCAGAAGGCTTAATTGATTGTCTGGAATGGGTTTATAGTTTGGTTTTGTGCCTTTCAGTCAGTTAATTGTATATATTCTTTAGCTCCAGAATATTGGTGTTCGATCGCATATTTTGAAATGGACGTGCAAGTTGGGGAAACATTTAAGGTCCCTTCAAGCTGTCCAATTGTTACGGTTGATGGATACGTGGATCCTTCCGGAGGAGACCGATTTTGCCTGGGCCAGCTTTCCAACGTGCATAGAACAGAAGCCATTGAGAGAGCAAGGTATTCTGCAGATCCCAAAAGCTCCAGCTGTCTGTGAATATTTGAGAATATTTTGTTTTGCCTTCAGTGTGTGCCTCCCTTTTGAAATTACAAGTATGGTATGGTTTGTTTTTTAAACTGAATTAACTATAGCAGAGTGTATCTTTCTAGGCCACTACTGTAATGCATTCAAAATGTGAACTGTGTGACAACAGACCTTCAGTGCTTTGCGGTAGCGCATTGCTTTTCACTGCTTTCAGAGGCTGTGCCTTCAAGGATAAAATTAGCAACTCGTGCCATTCTGTATGCATGCTGAATATTAGCTCTCCACACCGCAGAGTGATGCGAGAATAACTGCAATATATAGATTTGTCAAAGGAGCAAAGGAAGGTTGATAGGGAGCTAGTTGGATTTTCATTCATTCTCACCGTGCATGTGCTAGGCTTTGATGCGGAAGCGTAGAGAGCCGAAGCAATTTTGCAACTTTTTTTTCTCCTTGCTGAAACGAAAAGGAAGAAGATGTCTTCAGAAATGATGCATTGTCACAATCAAAATGCTAGATTGCTGTAATGTGATCCAAACAAACATACAGTGCTGTGTTAAAATGTGGCTTTGTATATGTACTTGAGTGACTTGCTCTGCTAGAACACTTGGGGGATTTTACACTTCTGAACAGAGCAAAATGTGTTTGGTATCCCAGCTCGGTGTTGTCAAAGAGTGCGGTAGTTGCTACTCGAATATCATTGCTTCTGCATTCTGTGGTTTCCCGTAGATCTTTACAAGTTATTACAGATGTCTTTTTACTTTACAGATTTTGTGTAACTATATACTAACTTATACGTAAGATAAGGATTTGAAATCGTAGTTATTGTCTGAGTGGAGTGTAAATTAAGGTATCACGGGCAGCTGTAGAGCTGGAGAATTGTTTATGGTTTATTTAGTAAAGGTCTGATTTATAGTATGCCTTGAAACTGTTTCTCTCTTTAAGGTTGCACATAGGTAAAGGGGTGCAGCTGGAGTGCAAAGGAGAAGGTGACGTGTGGGTTAGGTGCCTCAGTGACCATGCCGTCTTCGTTCAGAGTTACTACCTGGACAGAGAAGCGGGGCGTGCACCAGGGGATGCTGTTCACAAGATTTACCCAAGTGCATATATAAAGGTTGGTTTTGATGTTCCTAGATGAAAATGGTGGGGGAAATGCCATATATTTGGTTCTTGTAAATTTTAGGGGAGCTATGAGACCCTGAAATAACATAATAGCAATAATAAAAATAACTGCTTTGGATTCTCATTTTAAAAAACCTAAAAATTTCCATTTGATAAGTCACTTAAGATGACTTTCTAAAATGACTGTCAGCGGAAAGTATCACCTAGATACTACAAAAGTAACTAATTTTGTATTTTGTCACAAACAATCTTGATAGCAGTTTTTTGTATTTTCAACCTTAGAGTTTTAAATTAACTGCTATTAAAATTTTTAGCATAGGTTATCTGTTTTGTTACTCTGTCTCTGAAACAAGAAAAGTTAGGAAAGTATGTGTAAATGCTGTAGAAATGTAAAGCGTGTGTTGAAGCGTTACAAACATGAAGTGATCCAGAGGTCACAGAAAGTTGCTTGGAAACAAATTATTTTCAGGTGATCCTTACTTGGACATGCCTCTGCCAGACCTGAAAATTTATTTAGGACAAGTCACACTTGTAAAAAAGTCATTCTTGAATTAGAAATAAACTGCTTGAGATTTGCAGTGATATTTTTTTTTTTTTAGATCAGTTTTGCACACGAGTTTTGTAATGAAGGTGAAAGAAACCCCACCGGCCTTTATGTACGAGTTTTCTAGTATGAGAACAGAGTTCCTGTAGGTATTTGTGCCAAGCCTGATCACGAAGATATAAAATGCCACCAAACTGAAACCTAGCTGCTGAAACATCAGGCCTATCAATTATTGGTATTTCTTTTAAATAGACTTACAGCAGCAAAGCCTGACACAAAGTTAAGCAGGACTTGTAGGCTTCCATGTTTATTTCTATACCTGTTTTCTGAAAATCTTGGGATTTAACTAAAAAGTTGGGATTTTATCAGCCTGTAGCATCCTTCAGACTTTGATCCTGCAGTTGGTTCTCCACAGGGTAGGACTGCTCAGCTCAGCCAGGTTTTAAAAGTTCAGGTTCTGGTACTGCCACTGGTGGTAAGGTCACATGAGAGGAGTCTCTAAGAATCAGCTTTAATGGATTATTTCTGTTGGAAATTAAACTAGTCAGGGAAGGCTTGCTCTTACCCCAGTGTGTGGCGAGATTGTAGAAGTTGCGTTGGGAGAGCAGAGAGGTCCAGATTACTGGGGATGGGAGTTGAGGAATTCTTTCCTTCATTGATTTCACAAAGCCTACATAGTTTGAGATGTGTGTGTGTATATATATATATATATATTTTTTTTAAAGGTGTTTGATTTACGCCAATGTCATCGTCAGATGCAACAGCAGGCTGCCACTGCCCAAGCTGCTGCTGCTGCTCAAGCTGCAGCAGTAGCTGGAAACATCCCTGGACCAGGATCAGTAGGTGGAATAGCCCCAGCCATTAGTAAGTACCTTAACTGCTTGGTCTTCTTTTTTTCCTTACCTGAAAACAAAGAGCAGAGCTCTCCCTCGTAACAGCACCCACCCAGCCACCCACTGCCCCTGCGACAGTACCAGTGAACTTGGAACGAGGGAGCAGGATTGGGGCTGGGGTGACGTTGTGGTAAGTCTGTGTTCGTTCGCTTTGTACCTGCTCTGCACCCCAGTTTTCATTCTGTAGTCTCCAGGGAATGTTGGCTATGGAAGTGCCTACTTACTGGGCTGCAAGAAGTGTTGCAGTACAACAGGAAACATGTTATTTACAAGGTCAGGTAGCTAACTCTGTTACTTTAAACAGAGATACTTTCAGCTGCTTAAACCCGAGCTTGAGAAAGGATCTTTGAGATCTAAACTCATAAAAAAGTTACTCAAAACAATGGGGATTACTGAGCGACAAAGTCCTTGACTAGGTTTAGGGAAATTCAATATTACAGATTCTTGAGAAGAGGAAGAGGAGATTGTGAGGGTGTTTTTCTTGTTCTTTTTTTTTTTTTTTGAGCTATTCTGGGCTAGAGTTTTCTTAGTTACTAAATTCTAGATCCTTGAAATTGTTCCTAAGTACTTCGGAAAGTGTAAATACTTGGATGTCTCAGGCTGCTTTATGTGCCATAGTGTTTTCTGGATTCCTTGTATTGCCACGTGGCTCTTTCCAGCTGTCCTACAAATTGCTGAAGGCATTTTGGGGCACGTATTTAACTTTTTGACTTAACCATGCTTGCAATTTGAAGTTTGCCAGCTGTATTCGTCTTTTTATTTTATTCGATGTAAGTAGTATAATTGGTTAATCCAGCTTCCTACAGGTGGTCAGTCTGAGTTCTCGTGCTGAAAACGCAGCATTTGGCAAACCTCAAGACTAAGGATTTTTTGACTACTTCCTAGATAAGGTTTACATGCATTGTATCACAGAAGACACTGGGTTTCATCAAGTCTGCTTTGTTATATGGAGTTTTATAGTTCAGCACCCTTTTAAGATTGCAGAATGACGTAAAAAAACTTTAATTGGAAGAAATACAAAATAATTGCTGCGTTCATTGTAGCAGACATGTAGAAATGTGGATTGGCCTTGGCTGTGGTGAGAGGGAACTGTACATGAAGAAAGAGCCGAGCAACCAGGAATGGCTGAAGGGATGATAAAGAGCCACGTCTGTGAACACTTACTTGAAACCTCTCCTGTTTAGGTTTGTCAGCTGCTGCTGGAATTGGTGTAGATGACCTTCGCCGCTTATGCATACTCAGGATGAGTTTTGTAAAAGGTTGGGGACCTGATTACCCAAGACAGAGCATCAAAGAGACACCGTGCTGGATTGAAATTCACTTGCACCGTGCCCTTCAGCTTCTAGATGAAGTACTTCATACCATGCCTATTGCAGACCCACAACCTTTAGACTGAGATCCCTCTGCTGCACTGCTGTGGGCGTTATATTGTGAGGATGGTGGATTGTAAAATACAATTCTGTTTATAACCTGAAGATATATTTTACTTTTGTTCTGCTTAATCTTCTAAAACCAGGTTTTAAAAATGTGTTTGCCGCCTTGCTCTTAGCAGAAAGAAACTGAACATGCAGAATTTGGATTTTCAGTTATTTTCGGAACTTAATTGTCATAATACATGGCTCAGGGCTTAAAGTGAAAGGTAAACGCCTTATAGAGACTTTACAGTATTGGGTTTCTTCCCTTTGAAACTTTCCTTCTCTATTAGGGCATCTTGGTGATAAGCCTCACGGGAGCCTTTTGTATGCAGAATATATATTATATATATATTTATATCGGAAAATTCCTTCTAATAGTTACAAACATTTACCTTATAGCAACTTTAAAATTCCAACAGATCTGTGATGTTCTTTTTAGGGAACAATAGTTAACAGAAGATTTCTTTATTTTGTTGGCTATCTTACTATGATTTTTCCAGATTAAAACGTAGAAGCTGCCAAAATGTGAGGGATGAGACGTACGTTGTTGGCATTGATGATGAAAAATAGCGAGGAAAAGAAATGTGGCTTTTCCTTCACTAGTTTTTAAAACAGAAATCTTAGATTTTTATTTATATAGACACGTGAGTTTTAAAACACTAAAGGAAATGGATACTTTCAGTGCTGGCACTCAATTTAAACAGAACATGAAATACCCAGTCTCCAAAGTTGCCACCGAAATTGCGTAATGAGTACCTAATGGCAGGAACATATTTTCATAACTACTACTGACTTCAGTGATTTTACTCCAGTAAAACTTGGCAGGTATTTTAAAAAGTTGCATGACTCTTTTTACTTGCATATACCATTAACTCATGTATAATATGACATCAATATTTAGGATCCAGTTTTTGTATCTGTTCACCATTTCCACTCAGGGCAAGATGGCAAACTTGTTTTTATACCTCTTGGTTATTTTAAGCCCTATGCCATCAATGACCGTATCAATTGGCAATGACTTTGTATAGAGAATTTATAGTAGAAAAAATGCAAATGTATTGACTGTATGACAGATACAATATGTATGCTTTCTCTCTAGTTAATAGTATAAATAAAATTATGAAAACCCTGATTTTTTTTTTTTTTAAATAAACTTAGTTTGCTTCTATTATGTAATTCTGCACCTTGAAACCGTTGATCTTGAGTGATGGATTACTTTCCTTTGTGAGACCAGCAGCAGCCAACAGTGGTAGGAAGTTTTGTTGGTTTAAACTTGCTGGGAAGCAAGTCCAATTTTTTTCTTATTTTCACTGCTTCTCAATAAAAGTGCGTCTCTTTTCGGCTATTTGATGGGGTGTGAAGAGGGAGCAGGAATTCCTTATTTTTCAGCGTG